TTTCTTTCTAACTGTAACCAATTGTATATCGAATTGGGTGGCAATAAAGTGAACCAAGTAAAAGCATTCTTAGTCAAAGAACTAGGAAAATATTTCATTTTTAGCTCTTCACTCATCGCTAAGTCTCCACATTCTATTTGATATCGAGCTACATGCTCGATAGTTGATTCACCAACTTCCCCAGCAAACTTAGTGAATTTGGGTACTTTATATCCTCGAGGCAACTCTGTCTCGAGAATCGCATTTGGAAAAGGCGATACAAAATATGTCTGATTGGGTGGTCTTAAATCCATCCCTTGGATATTCATTCTTTGTCCTAACATGTGATTATACTGCATATTATTTTGATTACGCATATTTTGAAGTCCCTCATTCAGGTTTCCATAAATATCATTCCTCACATGTTGATATTCATTTCCTATTTGCTGATCATTGTTCCGATTTCTCCTTAACAGATATGGGGGATTAACATTAGCATTCTGGTTAACATGATTTTCTACCCTCGTTTGTCGATGCACAGCCAATGCATCCCCAATTCGTGACATTTGGTCTGCTAATATCTCAAAGCTAGCAGTAGTGTTTTGCACTAATGGATTTAAGACTGTAGTCAATTGTTGTGATAACATATTTACCATTTCAAAATTACTCTCATCCATTTGTTGTCTGAGTACCCCTAATGAATTACTAGATATTCCGACACTCATGTTTTCGATAGAATCAAAATTAGATCGATGATAGTCTCTATCGAATACATATTTCCCATGATCTAAGTATCCCCTCTGATCTAGATTTGGAGGTATCTGTTGTGTGCCTACATTCTGTCCATTCCCTGAATCTTGTGGAATTACTAAGTTTTGTGACCCTAAATTCGGAGGGATTCCAAAATTTTGTGGCATACCTAGTGTTTGAGACATTCCTAAGTTATATCTCGAATTCCTATGCATCGAAGAAGTTCCAGCCCCACTCACATTATTAAGTGAAAACTCAGGCGGTCTTACACTCATACGTGGCCCTACATACGTGGTTGTGGGATTTCCCATAGTTTGCATATTATTTGGTATCACCGTATTAGATCCTCCTTGGGTGTTTGCTAATGTACCTGAATTTTGTTCACTACTCACAGGTATCGACATGCTTACAGTTGTCGATACTACAGGTATATTCCCATTATGACTTTGCCCCCCAGTGTTTGGTGGGTGTGATCCATTTAATCCCTCGCTGTTACCCTGGTTATTCGATGAACTCTGACTCATGACTCTCCCACTTCTTAATCTCATACACTCTCGAACTAACTAATTTTGTGTTTCTCAATACAAGTCCCCCTACCTGGCGCGCCAATTTGTTTCTGGTGGAATTTTGATCGATTTCGATTCTAAAGTAAGTCCTAATCGAAATTCTACCACGTAAGCTCTTTCTGACTTAGGCTAGCAATTTGATTTTCAATCGACAACGTGTATGAGAATCGACAATTACATGTATTGAAAACTGTTTTTGATATTTTTGTAATATAAAGTATCGAAAGCAGTAAATACGTCAAATCTGAAAAGCGGAATCTTTAAAGTGCGAGACAATGTAAAGTGCTAAACCCATTAAGATTGCGTGAAAAGTAAATAACAGGAAATCGACACATGCGGAAATCGAAATGACATTGAATGTAAAGTACAAAAACATGAAATTGCTGAATCGAAATTGCTCGAAAGTAAATTACCAAGGAAAATAAAGAAAGCGATAAATGTACTCCGTGAGCAGGGAAATCCAGACCGCCAGAAGCTTCATGGTGTTCGTCGTTTCTCCGGTAGACTTTTCACTACTGGTTCTGTGCTCTGCCAATTTTTGCTCCCCCTTGTTCCTTCCTCCTTTGCTCTATTTATAGGGCATCCTTCAAGCCTTCCGAGAGCAGTTAACACGACTGCTACCATGTTCTACGTGCGTATGGCAGTTTTATCTTCTGTAGTTTCCCACGTTCTCACGATCTCCGACTTTTTCCCATGATTTCAAAACTGCTCTTTATACGTGCATTCGTCTTCCTTTCACGATTTGGCCAAAGTCTCGATGTCCACGTTGGCTTTCTTTACTCTCGATTCGGTATTTTTCGAGAACTTTGAATTGCTTACAATTCCTTTTTAACCCTGGTCTTATATGACTTAGTTTTTATTCGACAACAGTCATTTGACTATTATTCATTCGATTCTCGATTGTGCTCCTCGATGCTGTATGCTACGTATTTCTAATTAGACGTCGAATGAATCTTATCGAGTCGCATCTCTTTCCTTCGATTTCGATCACTTTCCTCGATTTGCCACTAACACATATATGGACGTTTAAATCATAAGAAAATTACTATAAATAAATACAAATCTCATCATATTTTAATATATTTGTTGTTACTTAAGTTTGAAGGGGACGTTCAAACTTTTCTATTCTTAACTGGTCGAGTAAATATGAACTAAACGTGATATACTTAAAATAAAATTTTATATTTAAGTAAATACATAAATGAAAATAGAAAATAAAATATGACTTTATACTAAACTTATTTATATTTATCTCTATCTATTAGTGAATAAGTATTTTGAAATAAGTCTGTATCCAAATATCTCAAGTATTTTTAAAATATTTGCTAAGATATCACAAGTCTTATAAAATACTTGAATATTTTTGATAAATTACGAGAATTTTAACAATTATAATTCTTAGTTATTTTTTCTATGATTTTCATAAACATATATTGAATATTTAAATCATGATATTTTTTATTTTAATGATTTTATATTATTTTTCAACTACAAATATTAATTAAATCACGTCAATAAATTTAATAGTTCAACTCTCTTTTGTAAAGAAAAAAAAACACACATTACACAAATGAAAACATTGGTAATATATATATAAAGATGAGATTTGTTGATTAAGAATAAGATATTTACTTACTATGATAATTAGAGATTTTCAACTCAACATTAAAATTATATATAATTTTTCGAAGTTTAATTTTTTTTTCATAAAAGTGGTTATCCTTCTCTTGATGAAAATTTATTTATTTATTTTAATAATGTACCACTCCCGGATTAAAGTTGCGTGACAATCTAGCATGTCTGTTCCACGAGCGTTTGGGGCAAGGCAATCATTTTAATTCAAAACGACATAAAAACAAGTGTGCAAATAGAACCTTTAGCATCTCCAATGAGATTTCAATAACTATCATATTCTTGAAATAAACTTAGAGAGATACAATACAAATAAACATTATTAAAATCAATTTGCCTATAATTTTCGAACACTAGCAGCATAGCAGTTATACTTATTCGTTCTTTAAACAAGTTTTCAATTAATAATATGAGAAGATCAACTTTGAACTTGAAAATGAACCTTTTTTTTTCAATATACAGTATCTAAAAACAACTTGTTAGTACTTCTTCTAATTTTTAGGTCATCTTTTTTTCTTCTAAATTTAAATCCGCAAAATGTATTTTCAAAAACACTTGATAGTATTTATTTATCTATCTAAAATTAAGAATGCTCTTGAAGTGTACCATAGAAATATTTATGAGGTAATAAAAATTACATTATTCAATATAAAGGGGGAAAATATTATACTGGCTTTAGTTTTTTTTTTTTTTCTTAGTCTCATATTCTTAAATGGAGCTTAAAAGACCTTATCGTGTTAGTCTTAAAATAAAAGTAAACAACTTATCAAAAAATAAAAAAACAAGAGTGCAATTATTTTTGTATATTTCTAATATAGGGGTGTGGTGAGGGAGAGAGGTACCAAAACAAATAGTGTCGTGAATTGCTTATCTTTGCTTCCATAGGAATAAAATGAACAGATTAATGTGAATGAAGACAGATAGAAATAGACATCTTATCTTACTAGTTTGGTAACAAAAAGAAATAGGCAATTGTGAGATCCATCGGAAAATAGTTGAAAGAGAAGGTTCACCATTTTCATTTTCCCTACTAATTTATTTTTGTCTGCTTCCATTTTTATTTCCTTTGGCAAGGTGTATGTCCCGTATCATTCGTCGTCTATATCTATATTCAATCAAAGTTAGAAGCAGTTAGAAATAAGTCTCTTTAATTACTAGTTTTTTAACCATTCTTATCAATTTACTAAGTAAATTTTAATAGCCAATCCTGTGGGGCCAGTCTACCTTACATAGCTGACACAAGGTTTTGTTTTTTCTAATTTTGTTGTTTTACAACAAAAAAGGTGTTAGCTGGAGGAATATAAACGAAATTATTAACACTTTCTTTTTAGTTGTTCCTCTCACGAGTGCACGTCAACGGAGCGAAGGGTTCCATGGAAGTAACTAGAAGGAAATGCCAGTTCCGTTGATAAGATCAAGCTTATCCTAAGATGATTTAATACAAATACAAAAATAGTGTAAATTTTTTAATTTCTCTAGGTTATGATCACAAGTCATTATTAAAGACGACACTATAAAATATGCATTATTGACGAACAAAGTGGTCCCAAATTAGGGAATAGATATCATCCACCCACCCACCAACTCATCCAACTCCACTTTTCTTAAGCTCACTCCATTGATTTCGATAATCCATGGCAAGTGATATCGGGCGCAGGTGTGGGAAAAGAAACTCAACCATCCTTCGCATATTCTTCAAAGAAGAGGACAAAATTTACAGGGAGGACATTGTGGGGTCTACACAGAATAAAATAATAATATAAAAGATGCATATATGACTCTGGTGTTATTTTTGATTTTGCATAATAATACACAATCACAGCCGTACATCACACATGAGCTGGGCCTCTTCCAACTTAAAAGCGGAGGATAACTGGCCCATGACGCGACACATCAACCACCTAATAATCATAAGTTTACATCTTTACATACAAAATACAATACTTTAAAATAAATAAAAAAAAAAAAAGATAAACAGATAATTTGATCAAATGAAACCGAAACCCACAAACATTGCACGATTTTTTTTTTTTTTTTTTTTCAACTTGATCATCCATGAACCGTTTGATTCATTCACTTGGACTTGAAGGGAATGGCGCGGATTACGACCTGGTGGTAGAGGGCAGCGAGAGCCGCACCGATGAATGGTCCCACCCAGAAGATCCACTGCCACAGAAAGCGACAATGAATTAGCGTCAGGGATCAGGAGGTCGAGATTGGTTTTCTCGAAAATTCTGCAATTGGCCAAATATTAAAGAAATTATGAAATTAAATATCAACTCACGTGATCATCCCAGCCAAGGTCTTTGTTGAAGATGATGGCGGCACCGAGACTACGAGCAGGGTTGATACCGGTTCCGGTGATGGGGATGGTGGCCAAGTGAACCAAGAACACAGCGAACCCAATTGGTAAAGGTGCCAAAATCTAGGTGTATATTCAAACCTCACAATTAGTTCACCAAAATTGTGTATATTTATTTAAGAGAAAGAAAGAGGGAGAGGCTTACGGGGACGTGAGAGTCTCTAGCGCTACGTTTGGCATCGGTGGCTGAGAAAACGGTGTAAACAAGGATAAAAGTGCCGACAATTTCAGCACCAAGTCCGTCACCTTTGGTGTAACCAGGGCTCACAAAGTTGGCTCCACCATTCAATGCACCGTATCTGGTTTTTCCCTCGAAACCCTTCACCACCCCAGCGCCTGCGATAGCTCCCAACACTTGCATCACTATGTAGAACAGCGCTCTGGTCAAAGACAATTTCCTCGCCAAGAACAACCCAAACGTAACCGCGGGGTTTATGTGACCCCCTGAACCACAAACACACAAACAACGTTGTTTATCTCTTGCAATCTTTAAAAGAATATATATATATTTTTTTTATTTTAAGATTAAAAAGGAACCTGAGATTCCGGCGGTGCAGTAAACGAGAGCGAAGATCATGCCACCGAAGGCCCAAGCAATTCCTTGAATACCAACGGATTGGCACTTAGTGGGGGACCTGAGGACACCCATGACGGTTAAGATGGTGATGTAGAGAAACAGAAAAGTTGCTACAAACTCTGCTATTCCTGCTCTGTAGAACGACCATGACGTAAGCTCCGAAGGCTCAAACAGCGGCGCCGGCGGTGGCTCCTGGTAGTCCTTGCCGTCGTCTTGGCTCTGTGCCGCCGTACCAATGGGTTGTCTCTCCGGGAACTTGTTGGCTCCCAACGACACATCCTGCTCCTTCCCCTCCATGTTGTTCTCTTGCTTCTTGCCTCGGATTCCTTGTGAGCTATGAGTGAGTGAGTGAGTGAGTGAGATAAGGTTAGGAGGAAGGTGCGGATTTATAATCCTAATGAGTTAGAGTTAATAGAAGTGAGGGTGAGGGTAGTGGCAGGCTGGTCCCGCAAGCGTAATATGTTGAATTTTTTAATATTTTGTTTGATAGAGACTAATGATTGATGGGGTTTGTCCTAGCTGGCGTGATTCCAACCACTCCTAGAAAGACCGACCATGTTCCGCGCAGCACTGGAACGTGGATTACTGCGGTTTTTGACAAAACGGAACAGGGAAAATAAATGTTAACGGAAGATGGGTAAAAACGTTTTGTTTTGACGGGGCAGTCGAAGGGACCGAATTCCACGTGTTCCTTCACCGCTCTTGCTCCTGGGCGGTGCTATTGTCCACACTTCACAAATATCACGTTGAACTCGCGCCTGCAAAAAGACACGTGTCGCCACCTCTTGCATTGGCACGGTGGGTTCGAGAATTCGAAATCAACACGCAAAACCTCCTACTGCCACTTCGCTGTTACTCTTGTCAGGTGTCAACAGTTTCTTTTTCTTTTTGTTCGAGTTTTACTTTTTCAGAATTTGGCTCCATTCAACACCACACGTAAATATTCTGATTGTAAATCTGCATATCAAACATGCAAAAAATAATAGTTTTCATTTTTTTTATTAATAGTTTTAGTATTTCAGGTATTATCACCTCTCTTAAATAAATACCAGTAGTTTATTAATTTTACTGTATTAAATATTTATTAATTTTTTTTAGTTCAGAGAATATTTATTCTTACTTGTATATTACAAAATTATAAGGTAATATAATTTAATGTTGAATATGAATTCAAGTTATTCTATCTGTGTATTGATTATTGGAGAATGATAATTCTAAACCAAGAAAAAAGTACAAACAAAAATGAATGTAATTAATAAGAAAATGCCATTGCTAGTTCGGAGCCATTGAATTTGTATGAAAATTTCAGTTGTTCATGTCTGCAAGTCCATGTCATCATTGTTTATTTCTGCCAAGAGATATTAATATGAAAATAGGAAATCAACTTCTGACAATATGGTAAGGAGTTGGAGAGAAATTAGAAATATTCATCAATGATTAGATGAAGAGGGTTTTTCAGAAAACAAAAAGATAATGATTACGATAAACAAAATTTTGTGTCCGTTAATTATAATATACAAACATTGCTCTCTTTTCATTTTTAAAACATGGTCGGCACATGGATGTCAGTAATGAACTTATCTCACGTCCATTATTAAATCTTCTACATATATACTCATTTTCCTCTCTTGCTGAAATACGCACAAAGAGTCATTTACTATGTTTTGTTTCTTTTCTCGTGGATGAGAGACAATGATGAAGTCCAGATATGTTATTAGGCCATGTCCTAAACTGTAGCTTTCAAGTTTTTTGTTGGATAATAATAAAAATTGTAGAACAAAAGCCGTTTAGCAAAGTAAAGAAACAATTTGAATATGGTTGGACCAATATTATTTATACCAATTAGTTACCTAATATGCATTAGTTTAGTGTCCTGATTAGTGTGAGTGACTTGTAAGGATAAGATTAATAAAAGGAAGGGTTGTTGATAATATTAAGTTTTGAATTGTGAGCCAAAACATTGGAATCTTTTCGAAATTTTATTTGTTGGTCATTCTACTCTGGCAAAGGCACAAGGTTAGGGACGCATCAGCTCCAGCAGATTTTGGGTGGCAGGGTCCTACACTCTTCTTTATATCTTTGTCTCGTGCCTTCTAATTTCAGAAACATAAAAAAAGAAAACACTTCTGAACCCCTTTTACCAATTTGCATTATGCTCTCTATTGAGTGAGGGATCACAACTCTACTTAGATTGTTTACTTCCCAACAAAATTTTGGTTTCATGTGTCTTGTTTGTTTTCAGAAATTCTACTTCGACAGGAGAGATAAGAGAAAAAGAACCAAAACCTATTGCAATGTTTGGTATTCTTTGAAACAAGTGAAAATTGATACTATTTCGCTTTCAAGGCGTTAGCTGTTATATGAATAATTTGTTGTCAAATTTGATGAAAGAAAAAGATAAATTTATTTGTTAAGAAAAAATAATGCATAACAATTAATATTTATATACAAATTAATTATTATTAAAGATAGATATGTTAGGTTAAACTGTAATTGAATATGATCTTCATTCTAATGATTAAACATATATCTATAATCTCATACTCGTATACATGTTATAAACTAAATGCGAAGCGTCACTGAATTAGTCATAATGACGATATCCTTTGTAGAAGCACTTTTGATTTGATCTTATAGTCTTCCTCCTCGAAGAAGCGCTGTATTTCCCTATGAATTTTCTCTCTTGATGGGGATAGAAAGAAAAGAATGGGGCTATAATCGTATTACTGTCTACGTGCTCTCGGAAGGGACCATGACCCTTTATATAACAAAAATTAGGTTAATTACTTAAGTTTTAGTATTTTCAATTTGACCCTCATCAAATTAGAAATTACTCTATGGTCTCTACACAATCATATTTTCATGACATATGCCTTTAGCCAAAACTTTAATTTATTCAGATCACTTTATTATTTGGCTTAATAAATAATGACCCTAACACATTTAAATATGTATCATATATATACATGACCCAAAATTTGTCAACAATCTCCCACTGGTCACAAATATATATGTCTTTACAACCTTACAAATGTGTTAGACTTTATGAGCTCAAAATTGTCATTATATTCCTTTAGCATATTCCAAAAGTCCTGTCCATTAATCATATCAGGATATAGAACCAAACCAGCTTTTCATTGCATCATCGCAACTAAAACCAACAAGATTACTCATCCTGACATAACCAAATGACATGGATTCATCATGAAATGTGTAGCATGAAAAATTACGTGAAGGTGATCTGTACACGTCTATTTTCAACTGGTCCAAACTTTAACTTATCGAGATCGATACAATAACCTTAATGTACAAAGTGTAATGAATGAACAAGAAAACCGCATATCTATAGATAACCAAATATGTCCAAAAAAATAATGTATACATATATAAAATTAAACATAGAACATAAAATATATGAAAATGACTAACTCCCACTAAACCACAAATTCCTCAAACTGTAAAACACCCATGTGAGCAACATGCTCATGAAAGACCTTGGGTGGAAGTCCTTTAGTTAGAGGATATGTTATCATGCGGTTTGTCCTTAAGTGTTCTATGAAAATCTGTCCACTTTGTACTCTTTCCTTAACAATACGGTGATTTATTGTCACAATATAACTTAAGTGGTCTTTCAATGCCTTTCACAATTTGCGGCCACCGTGACAAAATTTCTCGACCATATTCCATGATTTGATGCCTCATAGCATGCTACAAATTCTTGACATCCTGCAAAATATGAGTCGGAAAATCCAGCCGATCTCCAACTGGTCTGACCTCCTGTATGTGAGCATATAATCTTTTGTTCACTTTAAATATCTTAGGACCCTTTTTGCTACTTTCCAATGGTCTATTCCTGAATTGCTTAAATATCTGCCTAGAACCCCAACTATGTATGTTATGTCTGGATGCGTACATACTTGGGCATACATCAAACTCCCTATAGCTGATGCATAGGGAATCTTTTGCATTTCCTCAATTTTCAAATTCCTCTTTGGGCACTAATTTAGACTAAACTTGTCTCCCATAGTAACTGGAGTATCCCCGGCTCATGACGCACAGGTTCTTGAGGATCTTGAGTTTGGTCTTGACGAACAATCAAATCATCTTGAATATGGGGTTTATCATCAATGTTTTGTGGAGGTTCCGAACTTACTTTATCAAAAGTAACTGTTTGACTCGGTTCTGAATTTATTGTCGATTCTTCCTCCAATACAAAATTCTTAATCTTATTCTTCCCCCCAAACTCAATATCCTCAAAGAACATAACAGTTCCCATCTCAAAAAATGTCTTTAATGTGGGATCATAAAATTTATATCCCCTGGCTTTTTCAGAATAACCAATGAAGTAACTACTTACTGTTCGGGAGTCCAATTTTAGTTTAATACCACGAGATTCTGTATTAAGAGTTGCATTATAGGTGACCACAGTATCAAGTAAATATAGATTATCATTAGCCAAAAAATGAACCAATTATAACGATATCTGAATTAAAAGACAAACTGAACTTATTGTTTCCAAATGAACACAAATAACCTAATTTGTCCAAATAAGAAACTGAAACCAAATTCCGTCTAAAAGACGGCACGAAAAAAAATGTCTTTTAAATCTAAAATAAAAAACCAGTACACAATAATAATCTAAAATGTTCAATAGTCTCCATCTCCACCAATTTGCCATTTTGAACGTATATTCATCTTTCAGAATTAGTTGGCTTCTGGTAGTTTAGGCAACCCTTTCTTTTCACGCCAAGCATGATATTTAGCACATTGCTTCTTTATGTGTCCAGTCTTATTGCAAAAGAAACATTTATTTTCTTGAGTTTGTTTCTTTTGTTCTGGACCTTTAGCAGCTTCCTTCTTGGGATCCTCCGATCTCTTTCTTTTGCCTTTAGCCTTAAAGGTGTTTGCAAAATGAGCACTTTCTGTCTGGTCTTGTTTTAACCTTTCTTCTTCTTGCACGCAATGAGAAATGAGCTCATTAAGAGACCATTTATCCTTTTGACAGTTGTAAGATACCTTAAATTGATTAAACGTTGCGGGAAGAGAAATCAACACCAAATGAATGAGCAAGTCTTCTGAGAGTTCAAGCTTTAGTGCCTTGAGCTTAAAAACAATATTAGACATGCTCATAATGTACTCCCTGATATTTCCTTTGCCCTGATATTTCATGGAGATCAAGTTCTGAAGAAGACTGCTTGCCTCCGCCTTATCGCTTTTTGCAAAGCGCTGTTCAATTTCAGCAAGAAATTCTTTGGCACTTGTGATGTTTTCAGAAATAGTGCCCCTAAACATCTCCGGGATGTCGCGCTTAATGATCATTAGACTCATGCGATTTGAGCGATCCCACTTCTCATAATCTCTTTTTTGTTCAGAGGTACTTGAATCCGTAGGAGTAGGGGGTTGCTCAGTCCTTAACATAAGATCCATATCCATGCAGCCAAGAATAATATCAATATTCTCTTTCTAGTCCTTAAAATTTGTTCCATTGAGGATCGGAACAAAATTCAAATTTGCAGATACAGAAACAATTGTAGCTAGATTAGAACAAAAGAAATAAACTAATTATGCTCACATTATAAAATAAATAATTATAAATAAAATATATATTCAAATAATGGTTTAACCCATCTCAAGACACCCAATGCACGATCAATATCAAGTCTTTGGACAGTAATATTAACTGCTAGAGGTATCTTGTTGTAATAATCAAACATTGACAATAAAGCACGTCTAACAACAAACCAGTCTTTGGATTGATTTATCATCGACAAAACAAATCCTTATAATTATCACATGTTTATCATTACAGGTGTGTATGTAATTCGGCCAAATATTAATCTTCCTTTGGGCCGACTAATACTCGCATGAATATACACAAACACTAACATTCAATATTTTTTACGAACTACCCAATTCAAGAGAGGTTACTTTGGTAACTTCTTGACTCAATTTGTTCACAAAAATATTAAACTACCAAAAAAAAAAAATTATTTATATAACAACTCAGCGGGGGTCTTCAACATGCATACATGATACTTCAACTTTTCTCCGTTTCAAACCATCATATATGCAACACAGTGGGGTCTTCAACATGCATTTATGTTACTTATTGGGTATCCTTCCAGAACTGCTTTCTCCATAATCTTTTCCTGGATAACAGTTGTGATCATCCTTGGTCCATGATATATCCTTCCAAGTTTTAGAATGGTGGGCTGATTTCCATTCTGTTGGTACCTGAATACTGTCCACATGTTGCAAAAGCCTCAAGCTATTAGTGATGAATGCCTCCTCCCAGATTTCATATTCTGACCATGATGGAGCAACTTCTCGAAATGGAATTCCTTCACTCCTGCATATCTCAAGCACTAGTTGGCGTATTGTTCCTGGAAGAACACCATCGCTGATAGGAGCTGTTTGTACTTCAATAGAGTATTTATTTCTATAATCACCCAGGGCCTTCCCATCATTTGAATCCCAAACCCAATCTGAATATTTTGCAGCTGCCACATTCCTCCCATGTCCCACCAAAGCCAAATGTACACCATTTTTTTTTCGGGATACCAAATGTAGGAGGTACATAAGTCTCAATATGCATATGCACATCGAGAATTTTACTCACGCTTTCCTCGCTGACAGTTTCACATGCATCTAATTCCTCGAAATTACCACTAACAAGAGTTGTAATGCCCAGCTCCTCACAATCATTTCTTTCTTTTAGAGCAATTGGCAAGACCTTGCATATTGAATCATCAACAAGCATCTGCACAGTGGGTTGCCATATTGGCAAGGTTGCTAATGATCGTGACAAAACTGCAGAATTATTAGATTTAAATAGAAGCTGTGGAGCGAAATTTGATAGAACTTGTATAGATTCTGAAAGTCTTTTCATGTGCCTTTCCCAAAATAACAACCACGAAGCATTGTTGTGAGTATGTGATGTTGTGTAAGCACCTGGGTGAGTTTCAAGGAAATCTTTGACAGGAGGGGCATCTGAATAGTTGGACCAGTAACCAATCCTCCTAAGGCCAGTTCCAACCACATTAAGGACGCCATAGGCAGGATGAACGAGAGACCGATCTGGCTCAAATTTCATTTGACCAGATAATCCAACAAAATTACTCTGCAATATGTTATTCAGCAGAAGCGTTCCATTGTCAAAAATGCTCATCGTATCAAGGTTTAAATCGCCTCCCTTACAGCGACCGACACCTCGCCGGACATCACCGACGGTGTCGCCTGGTTCAGCAGTGACGACGACACCATGCCAAGCCGCGCTGCCAGCGCATCGTCCCCTCCGCCACCGAACATTGATCTCTTCGCCACCGCGACGTCGTTTCAACATGAATTCGTGATTAGGGTTTTGGAAATGCTGAATTAGCCAGAGGCCTAAGCCAGCGCTGTTCAAACCTCTCCAACGCTTCCCCTTTCCATCGCGAGCAGCCCCGCGACTCAATTAGCCAATGAAGACAAGGAGCAGAAGCAGTTTGGGGGGTTTCACCCTCAAATACGAAATTAGGTTTTAAAATTGGGATTTTACCCCAAATTTGATTTTGGGGTTCATAAAAATTCTTAATTAGCCAGAATCTAATTTCCAAATGCAAACATGAATCAAGTATGGGTTGCTCTGATACCATTGTTAGGTTAAACTGTAATTGAATATGATCTTCATCCTAATGATTAAACATATATCTATAATCTCATACTGTATACATGTTATAAACTAAATGCGAAAGCGTACCTGAATTGGCCATAATGACGATATCCTTTGTAGAGCACTTTTGATTTGATCTTATGGTCTTCCTCCTGAAGAGCACCTGTATTTCCCTATGAATTTTCTCTCTTGATGGGGATATAAAGAAAAGAACGGGACTGTAACTGTATTCTGTCTACGTGCTCTCAGAAGGGGACCATGACCCTTTATATAACAAAAATTAGGTTAATTACTTAAGTTTTAGTATTTTCAATTTGGCCCCTCATCAAATTAGAAATTACTCTATAGTCTCTACACAATCATATTTTCATGACATATGCCTTTAGCCAAAACTTTAATTTATTCAAATCACTTTATTATTTAGCTTAATAAATAATGACCCTAACACATTTAAATATGTATCATATATATATATATATATGACCCAAAATTTGCCAACAAGATAATCAAACTTCATATATGTATACATAAAATGGTACTACCTATGCTAGAGCTCGATATAAGTTACCACTTTTCTCTTTATAAATAACCACACACAAAATGTTATAAACACTGAAAAACAGGTTTTGTCTATTATTCTAGTTTTTTAAAATGAAAAGAGAGAAAAAAAAAACAATATTATGATACATTTTGAACGAACTCGACTCTTTAATATAAATAAAATCATTGCGAAATGAATATTGAAAAAAAAATGAGGAAGTTTTACTTCGAAAATATATGACACAAAATAAAGTCAAATATCTCTTAAACGAGTAAGAATTCTTCATATAAAAAATGTAAAATGAACACATCAATTTGATAATAGAGAATTTGATTAGTTGTCCAATTTATCAAACTCACAACAAGCAAAGAACATGAGTGGAGAAACAGTTGAACCAATTTTAAATCAATAAATACAACTGTGCATAAAAGCTATAAGTATAGTCTCTTCTTAATTTCTACAAATTTAGATGCTCCACTTGCCATAATAATATGAAATTTTAATGTACAAACAAACATAATTCATGGTCATTATTAATTTAATTGTTTTAGTTTATGTGATTGTTAGTGTGGAATCGAGAAGCCTGATCGAGAAATGAATCGAAAGGGAACTTTCCTGATGTCCGATTATAAAGAACGTGACACATAAAATCGAAAGGTAAAATCGGAAGAGAAGGTGTAATAGTCGAAAGCTTAACATGGAGTTAAGGTTAAAATAAATCGATACCAAGGATGCAAAGTTCTCGATTAAATCAAAGGGAAGGCTCGTTTTCGTAGATATCATAACCTCGGTTAAACCTTGAAGGAAAATAGTCAAAACGCACGCATGGAAAGCAGTTTCTAAGTTATGGAAGAGCCAAAAAATCATGGGAACGTGGGGAAACAATAGAAGAAAAACTGTCATACGCACGTAGAACGTGGTAACAGTCGTGTTAACTGCTCTTGGAAGGCTTGAAAGATGCCCTATAAATAGAGCAAAGAAGGAAGGAACGGGGGAAATTGGCGAGAGAACAGAATCGGTAGTGAAAAGTCTACGGAGAAACGACGAACACCATGAAGTTTACGGCAATCTGGATTTCCTTGCTCACTGAGTACATTTATCGCTTTCTATATTTTCCTTGGTAATTTACTTTCGAGCCATTTCAATTCAGCAATTTCATATTCTTGTAGATTACATTCAATGTCATTTCGATTTCCTATTATTTACTGATTATGCAATCTTAATGGGTTTTAGCAATTTACATTTTTCGCACATTTCGATTTCCTGTTATTTACTCTGTGCAATTTTAATGGGTTTTAGCAATTTACATTTTCCGCACATTTCGATTTCCTGTTATTTACTTTCATGTGCAATTTTAATGGGTTGTAGCAATTTACATTTTCCGCACATTTCGATTTCTGTTATTTACTTTACTGTGCAATTTTAATGGGTTTTAGCAATTTACATTTCCCGCACATTTCGATTTCTGTCCTTTATTTATCTCGCAAACTTAATTTCTTGCAAATTCGGGGTTTTCGCACTTTCTTGCAATTTAATATTCTCTTTGCTCGATTCGATACTTTACTTGTTTTGTTTGAGTCAAGCATTTTAGACATAAAATACCAAAAACCACATTTTCGATATCCTGTAGTTTTCAATTCTCATACGCGTTTTCGATTGAAAATCAAATTGCTAGCCTAAGTAAAAAGAACTTACGTGGTAGAATTTTGATTAGGACCAAAACACCCTTAGAATCGAAATCGATCGAAATTCCACCAGAAACAAATTGGCACGCCTAGTGGGACTTGTGTTGAAAAAACACAAAAGAGGTTAGTTCGAGAGTGTATGAGATTAAGAAGTGGGAGAGTTATAAGAATGAGTCGGAATTCCTCAAGTAGTCGGAATAACAATGAGGGTCTAAGTGGTGTGCTCCCACCAAATGCGGGGGCAAGGGCAAGGGCATAATGGGAGTATCCGGTAGTGTCGACAAGCTGTGAGCACGTCGATACCAATAAGTAATGAACAAAATCCAGGTCCATTGGCAAACACCCATGTAGGAGCTAGTATAGCAATATCAAATAATATGCAAACTATGGAAAACCCCATAACCACATATGCGGGGCCATATACTAGTGTAAGACCACCTGGTTTCTTATCCAATAACATGAATGGAACCGACACTTCATCGATACATAGAAATTCACGATTCGACTTAGGAATGCCTCAAAACGTAGGTACATTTCAAACCCTAGGCATGCCACAAAACTTTGGAGTATCTACACATTTAGGGGTATCTCAAAATTCAGTGACATCACAAAATTCGGGGAATGGACCAAACTTAGGGATACAACAGACACCTCCAAATCTAGATCCTAGGGGAATCTCGATCATGGGAGATATGCATTTGATAGGGACTTTCATCGATCTAATTTCGAGAATATCGAAAATACTAATACTGGGATTTCCAAGTAACTCCCTAGGAATACTTAGACAACAAATGGATGAGAGTAATTTTGAAATGGTGAATATGTTATCACGACGAGTTGACTACGGTCTTAAACCCATTAGTTCAAAATACTACTGCTAGTTTCGAGATATTAGCGGATCAAATGTCTCGAATTGGAGACGCATTGGCTGTACCTCGACAAACGAGGATTGAGAATCATGCCAATCAGAATATTAATCCCCCTTATTTATTAAGAAGGAATCGGAACAATGATCAATATCAGCGAATGGGGAACGAATATCAACATGTGAGGAATGATATTTACGGAAATCTGAATGAGGGATTTCAAAATATTCATAATCAAAATAATACGCAATATAATCACATGTTAGGACAAAGGATGAATTTCCAAGGGACGGATGTAAGACCACCCAATCAGACATATTTTGTGTCTCCTTTTCCAAATGCGATTCTCGAGACGAGAATTGCCTCGAGGATACAAAATACCCAAATTCACTAAATTTGCTTGGAGAGGTTGGTGAATCAACTATCGAGCATGTAGCTCGATATCGAGATAGAGTGTGGGGACTTAGCAATGAGTGAAGAGTTAAAAATGAAGTATTTCCCTAGTTCCTTGACTAAGAATGCTTTCACTTGGTTTACTTCATTGCCACCCAATTCGATATATAATTGGTTTCGGTTAGAAAGAAATTTCCATGAACAATTCTTTAGAGGAGAAACTCAAGTAAGTCTCATTGATTTGATGAACATAAAACGATATAATCATGAAAACATAGATGATTATCCGAATCGATTTAGACAAATGAAATCAAGATGTTTTACTCAAATTCCTGAATACGAATTAGTCGGGATGGCTTACTGCAGGTTTAGAATTCTCGATTAGGAAAAAGTTGGTAAATTTGCCATTAAATGACATGGCTCGATTAGGCGATAAAGTGAGGAGAGTGGAACAAATCGAGTATGAGAAACAAAGGCACAAGAAATTTGAGAAACCCGTGAAAAAAGAAAGAATAGCCTATATAAATGATGTGTATGAAGTAGATACCTCGACGAAACCGATATCGAGGAAAATGTTGATGAGAAAGTAAATATAGCAGAGCTCAAAGTAGGAGCTCCATATACTTGTAAATTGTTGCAAAAGAATGAAGTGAAGGATAAAATGGCAAACCGAACCTACACTTTCGATGTAACAAAAGCGAGATAAGATCTTCGACATTCTACTAAAAGATAAACAGATTAAGTTAAGCGAAGATCACAAACTGCCTTCCGAGAACAAAGGGGTGGTCGAAAATATTGTAAATTTCATAATATTTATGGACACTTGGACTAATAATTGTATACATTTCAGGAACACGATTCAAGATGCAATCGACCAAGGAAGACTGAAGTTTGGAGAGACAGCGATGAAAGTGGACACGAGTCCGTTCGAAGTCCAAGTGGGATATATTGAATCCCAAACCGAGATGAAGGATGACGTTAGACCGATGAATGCCACCTTCATAGGCATGGTCGATGTTACTGAAGACATCG